TCTATAACTTTTAAAATTCTGATTTAAAATAAGAAAAATTAAATGATAACAGCACTTTGCTGTAAATTAAAGCCTGATTATTTGTATTATAGCAGTGATTGTCTGTATTTATAGCTCATTGCATTGGTTTTACAGTGTGAATATCTTTAATTTAACATTAAAAGGCTAATATGTAAAATTAAAACTAAAAACTGCATGTTAATTATAGAAAATTACTGTATTTTAACCGTTTGTATTACTCTTACTTATTTCTAACCGTGTAATGAAGAAAAACGCCAAGGCGGACAAATAGAGCACAATTACTTGAGTACATGTACTTAGTTACTTTTCCACCACTGTGATTCAGATTAAATCTCTCACTCTCTGTTTTGATGTGTGAAGAACAGGATTTACGGTCACGTTCTCAGCTTTTTAAAAAACAACCTCTGGTCTGTTGGAAGCGTCCTCAAAGGGGCCCCGAGGAGGAAGCGGCGAGCAGTGTGCAGCGTGGCGGACACAGAGCCAACAACTTGTGTAAGAGGTTTAACACGAGATGGGAGTAAAATCCCTGGCGTCCCCACACGGCAAAGGCTTCCAGGGGATAACCTCTGCCCCCGGACGACCTCTCACAAATCTGCATCGGCCTCTTTCCACCTCTTGGAGCACGGCTGAATGTGTGTTAGAGGAGGAATATGACGTCTGTGGCTCCTGCTGCTAAATTAATATTAATCATTTTTTTGGCTTTACGGATTCTATGGATCCTGCATTTGAGGGTGAAATGGCTCCATACCGCAACCCCAGAAGACCTAAAAGAAGCAACGTTTCATCCAGACATACGAAAATTGGTATGCACATGTATCATGTCCAGATGTACAAAAAAGCCTCTTGGACCCATACCCCAAACCCAACAGGGAGTCGGCCATTCTGAACTTAGTGGTCATTTTTGGCGATTTGCACTTGTCATATTTTAACAAACTCTTCCAGCAGCACAATATATTGATTATAGCAGCCTATTGATTATATTATATCTCAGGCTGAACCCCACCTCATGCAAACAGCAATCAAACACAATCAAGTGGGTCTAATTTCCACCATTCCCCGAGAGGGTTGTTCCCATCCTTTTTAGGAATTTCAAGGTCTGTAGTTTCTTTTTAGATGTTGAACTTTCTGTCATTCTGCTCACAGCTTTAATTATTAACTGTGTTTGACGAGATCCAACTGAACCAAGATTAAAAATTCTCTTTTACAAAGAAGGCAGTTAAAGACAGACGCTGACCAGACAGGACACACATACAGCAGGGATTTCTTGTGTAATACCCACAATTTGATACAGTTTTATTTGTATGGTGCCAAATCATAACACAAGTTATTTAACACTCTACAAATAGAGCAGGTGTAGACTGTACTCCTTCTAAAAGCAGCGGCAAGGAAAAACGTTCTATTAGGAGGCAGAAACCTCATGCAGACCCCGGCTCTAATGAGAGCGTCACAAGTGAAGTAATTTCACAATCCCATGTGGCACAAAACAAACATTTCCAAATGTCACCTCATCACCAGGAAAGTCAAAAATCAATTGCCACTACTACAAACTAAGCCAAAGTTTTAAAACTAGTCAATTTTCTAATTTTCTAACCCTAACCCTAACCCCATTTTGTCATGAACCAGCTCAAAGTTCAGACGAAACAAAGGAGACCACACCGATAATTAAGGTTTTAAAATAAAAGAAATGTATTAAACCAATATTATACTATACACAAAGTATAAACAATATGTGTTGTGTTGTCAGAAGTGTAGTGAGTGTGTGGATATGGGCTTAGTCAGGTGTAGGGAAAAAAACAAATCTAAATAAACCCAAAACCCAGAACAACCAGTGATTGAAGTCTTTAAAGGCATTTTTTTAAACTAAAGGTTTGATGTGTCTTACCAGGCGTTCATCTTACAAGCAGGGAGCCTTCCCTCCCCCACTTGTACTGTTTTTCAGAGGCTCCATTTTGAAGCAAAAAACTGACATCATATGAAACTAGAAGACCTAACACATACATTGGTACCAACCATGTGATGCTAGGATGTCAGGAAGTGGACTAAATAACGCTCAAAAGTTAGGCTAAATTTTGGCGCTGTAAAAACTGGCCTGGCAATTCCATAATTGTTATTGTTATTGAGTCCATAAACAGTGCTGGAATTGCATGAATTGGGAATTACTGAAAAGCTGAGACACATAAGTCAGTGCCCAACTCATGCCACCCTTAGTCAAAAAAAGTCTGGACTGCTTACCGGACAGCACGGTGAAGACGGCGGCGAAGGCGTTGAGTTTGAGTCCGTCGATGACGTTGCTGGAATGGAAAAGCTCGAGACACATCAGGCTGAAGCCGACCACCAGCAGCAGGATGTAGAGCACCTCGGATACCACCGACAACCACAACACGCCTGCAAAGAAAACAACACACAGAAGGTTTTATTTTTCACCAAACCAGAGTTAGTTATTGTTGGAAAGACAAAAACAAAGATGGTTTTGGGGAGTTTTACTTTGTTTTTCTCCAAACTGAAGTGTGTTTTACGATTATCTGCAAGGTAAAATTAGTTGTTTTGTCAATGGAGTCTGGTTTACTGTAGCGCCTATTGTTTTGTGCTCTAGTACGACATCTAGTGGCAGTGAATGTCATATATATATATATATAACTTTAAGCACCAATAATCATCCATCATACATTTTCCGTCTGGTATTTAATTCTCACATTCTGTCTCATTACATTTCTGTTAAAATATTTTCTACTTTCTCATTTTCACTTATTATTTGATTATCTGTAAATAACTTTGAGTTGTTTTTGTGTCTGATAAGTTAAATCATCCACAGTGTTCAGCTTTATGATTCAAATGCTCTCAAATGACAATCTTAAGTCTGTTTGGAGCTGCCGTTGTCATTCAGATGAGGCACAAAGACTGGGATCGGTGCCAGAGGAGGAATCAAACTGAATGCAGCAATGGCTTGTGGGATATCTCTCTTTCTGAGTCTGACTACAACTTCCCTTTAGCTCTCTGTCGCTTTCTCTGACACACTCAGTTCACAAAGAGAGAGAGAAAAGCTCCTGGACTGTGGACGTCATGGATTCAACTTGTCAAACATCTGAAGCTTTTCCACTTGACACTCTGGGAAAAATAAAAGACCATCAGACGAATCGTGAGGTGAAATCTGTCGGTGCTGAGAGACCGGATTCAGAGGGCTCCCAGTTCAGACCAGTGGCTCCCAACCTTCTTCCTTAAGGGATCCCTTTTCTTTCATTTAGTCAACTGACTACATCAGATATTTCATATTACATTTAAAACTGTACAATGAACTCAAACAGTGAACTCAGAAACTGCAGGAAGTTAAAAAACGAGAGATTTGGATGAATTTAGATCAAAATATATATAATGGACAGAGCTTCAGGGTCTGTGAAGTGACTTAAACCTGCATTATCTGTAAAGGCCAGCAGGGGGCAGCTCCATTTGATGCAATACAAACAGATACCATTCAGTTTTATGGAGA